AAGCAACAAAACTGAAACAACCTACAAAAAGAAAAGAATCTGAACCCAACTTACAAAAAAAAAAAAGAAATTTGAACTGACCTAAAAAAAGAAAAAAATCCTGAACAATCCTACAAAAAAGAAAGGAAAGGACTCCCAAACTGATCTACAAAAAAGAAAAAAGAAACTGAATCTTCCCACAAAAAAAAATCTGCTGGCCTGGCCTATGAATAAAAAAAGGGATAAATATAAATAAAAAAAGAAAGTGGAATAAAGAATAAATAAAAAATATCTTTTAAAAAGAGGGTAACAAAGTTAGGAAAGTTAAAAAAAATTTTTTTTTTAAAGGGAGGACGTCAAAGTTAGAAAAATAAAAAATTTTTTATAAAGAGGAAATAGAAATAGAAAGAAGAAAATTTTTTTTAAAAAAAAAGAAGGGTGGGAATAAAAGAATAAAATCAAAAAAAATTTTTTTTTAAAGGAGAGTGATGAAAAAAAATTTTTAAAGTGAGGTACGAAAAAAAAATATTTTTTTTTAAAAGGAGGGTGACGAAAAAAGAAGAAAAATTTAGAAAAAATAACAAAAATAAGACAAGAGAAAAGAGAAGGAAGGGAAAGACAGAAAGGAAGATCGGAAGATCAAACTCATCAAAGGGTTTATATAAAAAACAAAAAACGTATCATAACAAAACAATAAACAATCACGTGATCTCGTGTTATGATACGAGATTTTTGTAAAATTATTTTCTAAAAATATTAAGTTTAAAAATTCCGTATACATTCTGTATGATTAATTTTTTCCGTATACATTAGTTTTTTAAAAAAATGTTCAAAAATGAATTGCTTATTAAATATACGGAATTTGTATACGGAATCTATAGAAACGTACATAAAATGTATACAAAACGTATCCTTTCCGTATACATATTTCTTATAGGGAAGCATCACGATCAAAGATCTTACTTTATTGATTTAATTAAAAAAAGAACAAAAAACTTCCAATTAACTGTTCTACGAGACTCCAGATAGTTTTCCAACCAATAACATCTTTCGCCTAATTAGCACCCAACTGCCAATAACCCAGCATGTTTCCACACAAAAAAAAAATTAATAAATTAATAAGATAATACAAATATTCGAAAACCTAAACTAAAAAAGATAAAAAACCTCTAAGAGGAAAAATCTAAACTAGTTTACGCAAAGTTTCTGGTATAAAGATATGTGGTTAAATATATGTCGCACCTATCACCTTTGGTCAATTGGTTAGCATTCCAAAATTGGCCGATAACGTATTTGAAATATCAGTATAATAAACACGTGAATTCAAAAAATTTATATATTTTAACATCCAAAAACTCAAAAAACTGCTCTTTTAACTTCTATTATTAGCTCAGGCTCTTTTATAATCTTTTCATTTTGATAACCAACATCTATTTACCGGAAATTTCAATCATGTCGTTCTGAAGATTAGCATATGTAGTACTTAAACCATTCCTATAGTAATTTCCGGTATGAATGATGTTATTTCGACACAATAAGTGTCTACACCGTCGTATGATAATTTATACATGTGTAATCCACAAAGTATTGACCATACTTTTCTTAATCTGCTACAAAATATTAGGAATGTTCTTATTCCTCAAGAAAATCCTTTATGACTGTCAATTGTGCACCTATTCCTTCAATTGCGAATACTTCAATGAGGGCACATGAAAATTACGATATGGCTAATGCAGCTTCGCAATTACACACTGCAATCCTGCCGTATGACACACGGTATATATTGACCAGTCTAATCATGTAAACAGAATTCCGAATTCATCGCATTATACCAGAATTCCTTCTCCAAATAATTAGAGTTTCAAGATAAATATTAGAGTTAAATTCTGCGTTGGGTTTATCAAACGTTCACGCTGATTACAGATTCGATAAGACCAGTCTTTCTATAATAATCGCTAATTTATTAAATTTAAAATTTACTATAAGATTTCATTATTTATTTGCTAATTATATATCTATTTTTTAATATCACTATCTATTTTTTATTATCTTTACCATATTGCACATCTATATTTTACTTACTTTATCTTACATATGGTAATTATGGTATTGTAGTTCTTCAAGTAGGATTCCTCTTAGAAGATTAAAACTAAACGGTATCTTATTCCTTTTATATTTATCGTTATACATTGAATAAATTATTATGATTTTATTTTTAAATTGAAACAAGGGTTTCGGCAGTTGACAGTGTATTTAATTTTATTTTTTACATTCTTCTAACGTAACTAACGTGACTTATATTCTAAGCATTTTTTCAGTAATTGTTCCTGAAAATGTTTTTAAAGTTATTTTTAATATACGATTGTATTAAAGGGTCGTGTGATTTATAATAAGCTATGCAAAGAAACATTTGCCTATGCACAGACAGCACAGTTATAAAATCTATTACTAATACATTCCTTCTGGGAGAGGTAAAAAATTTAAATTTTAAAGAAATATTTGATATATAAAATTAGATTTTTTCCCAGCTATCTTTCCTATATTCGAAGTTTACGTACAGTATATTTGATTGTCATAAGTTGCGCATTAAGTTGCGCCAAGAACTTATCAGGTTGTCTGTTTTCGGCAAATTGAAAATAAACACGTGACATTCTGCACTTCTTTAGCCACATTAACTTAAAAGGTTTTTAGAATTACAAGACTACTTGTTGCAGTACGCATATTTTCTTATATAATTAAAAAAATGGTGTTTGTGACTAACGTTTAGATTAGCCTGTATAAATTGCTGATGTACTGTACATCTAATCATTCATCTAATCCAATTCCGGTTAATGAAATTTTAATCGGAATTTTTTTTTTCGATTTTTTTTCCAACAAATCTAAATTTTTTCAGTCCCCCCCTTTTTTAATTTTCATTTTTTTTTTCTTGAACCAATCTTTTACTTTTGGTTCTTTCTTTTTTTCAAATTTCGTCATTTCTCTTTCGAAACGCCTTTTTCTTTTCCTTTTTTTTCTTTTTTAAAAATTTTTCGTTTTTTTTCCTGTTTTTTTATTCTTTCTCCCATTTAGATTTGATTTTTTTTCAAAAACCGAAAAATTATTATTATTTTTTTTTTTATTAAATAATCCTATTGTTTCACTTATATTATTTTTTTTTGATCTTTTTTTTTCTTTTTCTTTCGAAAATTTTTTTATTTTTTCTTTCCTTTTCCTTTTCGGTTTCTTTTTTCAACCCGATTTTTCTCTTTATCCCTCCCCACAAATTTTTTTTTCATTTTTATTTTTTTGAATTTTTTTTTTATTTCTTTTTTTCCGGTTGGCTTTTTTTCCAATCCGAAATTTTTTTTCCCCTTTTCCTTTTTCGGTTTGGCTTTTTTTTTCAAACCGAATTTTCTTTTCCCGAATACATTCTTTCACCATTTAGATTTGGATCGATACGTCAATTGCCTTTTTTCCCGATTCTTACTATTAATAATATTATTATTTTTAGGCTGTATCAAGCTCAATAATAGACTAACATAATTATTTATTTATTTTGTAACAATGGATCGTTATAATTAATATTTCTGGGGAATCGTTTTTTTCATGTAAATAGATCGTTATAATTAGATTTTCTGAGAATTTTTTTTTTCATATTTAGATTGCTATAATGAATTTCTTTGAGATATGAGATATGGTAACAATATATATGTATTTTTTTTCAACAGAGGATGTAATTTTTTTTAATGCTACAATGGGATTTTTTTAAGATAAAAAAAAAACGATTTATTTGTAACAATGTAACAATAAATTACTATACAAAATTTTCTTTGTAATGAATTTGTAAATACTGTATATAAATAAATCATAAATTTCACAGTACTGCAACATTTGTTTCGTGTGATAAGTAAAATTTGCATTTAATAGTAATATTTCATATACTATATAACACTCGCACACAATTCATTGTTATTTGTATAATCATATAAATTGTGTAATTTATTACATTTATTTCCTACTAATACCATCATAATAATAGTAAAAAAACTAGACCTATTCACACTGCATGGCAAATAAAATACTATAAGTGTCCCCGCAGTAACGCGACGGGTTACGCCGGTTACGCCTAGTATAGTTTAAGATAAATAATAAAATAAAAAGGTTACTGTATTTAGTTAACAAAAAGAAAATGTCGTTTTTAAAAAGTATAGAGATTTCCTTATACATAAGTATAACCACGCATAAAAAATTTTTTATGTCGAAAGTTGATCATTGCTCAATTAACTTTTCACAATAAAAAGAATTTTTTTTTTTATGCAAGAGGCGAAATTTGCGTACAGCCATGCATATTTATTTATGTGTTACAAAATAAAAAGCTCAATTAACACTCCAAAATAAAAAAATTTCAGCCAAAACCATGCATATTTAACGTGACAAAAAAAAAAAAATATATATATTATATAATCGCAAATGGNAAAAAAAAAAAAAATATATATTATATAATCGCAAATGGACGATATAAAAAAATAATTTTTTGGTAATAAATTTATATATTTATAGGCGATTACCAAATGGATGACATTACAGTAAAAATTAACGATGATGCCGATAAAATCGAATTCGATAATAAAATTGATGTTGATAAAATAGATATTGATAAAATCAATATTGATGAAAATGATGTTGATAAAATATTCACCTTCGATGATGGACAACATAACAGTAAACCTATTACTATGATAGAAATATCACCAAATGAAAACTACCTTATTACTTATAGTAAAGAAGATCGTTCAATTGCCGGTTGGAATGTTGAAGATATGGATAAGGTTCAACTTAAATTTCATCAAACTGTTAGAATTAATGAGGATAAAATCCATAGTTTATGTGTTTCTGATGATAAGGAACTTGTTTATAATAATGATGGAAAAAGTTATGGTAAGTAATAATTATTTGATTATGTAATTATTAAGTTATCTGTTGTAGTAATTGATATTTATTGTAATATTTTTTTAGTAATTGATATGAATAATACAAATAAGAAAATCGCACTAAATTTAGATACAGAAGTTGCTAATCCAAAGTATTGTCATTGTACCTTTAATTTAAAACGTGAATTTATTTTATATAATGTATTTTACGTTCATAATGTTCTTGGAAATCATAAAATTATTTGGATTTATTCCACACAAATTAAAAATAATAAATGGGAATGTAAGAGATTTTACAGGATGCCTGAAGATTATGAATTAATTAGTATATCAAAATATGATAATGTTTACCTGTTTTCAAATGATTACATTTATGAATGGAATATTAATACTGAGAAAAGTGTAAAAATATTTGGTAATAATAAGGATAAGAATAAGGTAATAAATATTATAAAATTATTTTCAAACCAATTGTTAAATTATAATAAATATGTTAAATACTATTTATTTTTTAGTTTGAAACAAAAAATATCGGAATATTCAGTGAGCAAACTAATACATCAGGTAGTAGTAGTACAAGTGGATCATCAACTAATAAAACTGTCAAAAAAGGCCTCAGTAATGAAAAGTTTATTTTTCTAAGAATCAATGATAAAATCATTATTTATTCAATAGAATTGGGAATTCCTATTGCTTCTTTGGATATAAATGATGGTAACCATTTTTAAAAAATTTTACTTATACTTTAATTATTACTCATATTATATCAATATTTTTTTATTTAGATATTCAACTATATAATTTTATGAATCATACTGGTTTATTTCTTTTACCTTCTTTATTCTGTACACCAGATAAAGGAATCAAATATTGCTGGAACAATAAATACAAAAGTAGTTATAATCAAACTTTATTTGATGAACCAACTACTGGACAAACAAAGTTTGGAATTCTAAATAGACGTGATTGGAAATCAAAATTTGACGAAAAGATGACAAAAGCAAACTTTTCATATGAATATTCTGATGAATTAAATAAAGAAAACAATAAAATTACTGAATGTGATGATGATGATAAAATCAGCAAGAAATTTAACAAACACTTAAATGTTCATTCATTTAATTTATATATGGATACTGTGTCTACATTGTTTCAAAAAGCCATAACAAATGATGATAGTGAAAAAATTGAAAAAGAAAAAGAATCAACTAAATCAACTAAAAATTTAATTAAATGGAAAATACGTGTTGGTCACGGTGAAATTAAACTGAAAGTTCTCAAAAAAATTAATACTGAATGGGAATCAATTAGCACGAGAACTGAAAATTATCCTTATAAGTCTAAATATCCCTACATTAATCATAAATTAATTGTGAACTCATTATTTAGTAATAATGATATTGTTATATTAACAACATTTGGTATTCTTATTTATACTTTTAGTGAAAATAACAAAACTAGCGAAAATAACAAATCTAGTGAAAATAACAAATCTAGTGAAAATTACAAATCTAGTGAAAATAGCAAATCTAGTGAAAATAACAAATCTAGTGAAAACGACAAATCTAGTGAAAATAACAAATATACTATTTCTTTAAACTATTTTTATTTTATGAAAATCGATAATTATAGTTATAAATATGACAAAATATTTCAACATTACAAAAGAATATTTTCAAAATCTACTTTACCATTACCAAATTATGATAGTTTTAGATTAAATGGATGGGTGTCAGATATAAAGAATAATAAGTCAAGTCTTTTGAAATATGGAGTTAAATTATTAGAATTTGCAATTCAAGAACATAAGTTAAAATTAATTGATGACATTTATAAAAAATGTATGACTTATTTTAAAGAGGATATAATGAACAATAAGTCATTTTTAAGCATTATCACTTCTGCAATGCCATTACTAGATAAATATTATCCAGAATATATTCTAAGATATTCATTAGAAACGAATATGATCATGGATTCTTCTTTTTATTGTATAGAACATCGGAATAAAAATTTACATCTTTATTCTTTTTTTCAATCTCCTCAAATAACTAATTTATCTCAGTCTCTTTTATGGACAAAATACTATTATAACTTTTATAGAGCAATTTATTATAGAAAGTTATTATTGTTAATTATATGTGTTATTGAAGCTTTAATAATTCTTATAACTTTACCCCTTTATTTGATTACATTTTATATTTTATCAAAATACAATTTTATTAATAATATTTACATTATAGATACATTTACTTCTATTTATTTCTATACTTTTAAAGATTTTAAAAGAAAGACAACAACAACACTAACAATTACTTTTATGATTCCTTATATTAATTTTGTTAATTATCCAAAAGATTATAATTGGTTTTTAGAATTAATTAGACCTCAACCTAGTTCATTTACTGAAACAATGAATAGAAATATCTATAAAAATTGGAATGGAGAAGCATTAATTAATTTTAAATGGAATGCTTATGGAAAATATTATTATGCAATGATTTGGATTTTCTTTATGGCTTTACTTGGATGTTTTACTGCTGCAGCAACAATTCCTCAGAAATATATCAATGAAGAAGTTAGACAACAACTTTTTATTGCCTCAATCATACTCGGATTTATTCATCTGATTTTTGAAATTCGTCAATTTTTATATAATATTATTAAGTGGTTCTATAATTTTTGGAATATTTTTGGTAAATATAAATGTTTAATTTATTTATTTTATTTATGATATCACAATTAATTATACAATATTTTGATATTGCAGATATAATTGCTTATGTGCTTTCTATTTACACTTCTATTTATTGGCTTCAAACAAATGATAAGAACAACAATTATCTAATTCAGTTGCTTTCTTTCTCATGCTTATTTTTGGATATAAAATTTTTGTTATTTTTTAGAGCTTTTGAATATTTTGGAGTATATTTTGCAATTATTATTAGTGTTGGAAAAAAGATTTCTTCTTTTTTAATAGTCTTATTCATTATTATAATAAGTTTTGCACATGCATTTTATATTTTATTATCACCAAGATCCGAATTTTCACTTGAACAACCTACAAATAACGATGATCCAAATAATCCTTGGAATTTAGCTTCTAGTTATAATCAAATAATTGATAATGATAGAAATATAAACTCCAATCCATCTATGATTCAAACACCCGATAAAAATACAAATATGTTTATAGATATTAGAACTTCTCTTTTTGCAATGTATTTATTTTTAGCAGGTATGTTTAAATTTTCATAATTATATAAATAAAATAAATATTTCTAATATTTTTAAGCAATTTTCTTATCAATAGGTGATTCAAGTGCATTATCCAATTGGGCATATATAGATAATCCATCAATTGCAGTATTGATTTTTTTATTTTCCCTCTTAATTGTTGTATATCTTATGAACTTGTTAATTGGATTACTTAATATGGCAATTGAAGAAGATAATAACAGAGTTTCATATTTGATACAGAAGGCAGAAGTAAATAATATTAATATTAATCATTCCATTTCTGTAAATATACTAAATATCAATTTTATTTTTTAAAGATTTTGGCTGAGATTGAGTTATTTTACCTATTTCCATTTCAGAGACGTTGGCAATCATGGTTTCCTGAAGTAATGTATGTATTTTACTTTTAAAATAATTTAATTTTATGATTTTATTAATTATTCAAATTTACTTTTCAAGACATTATTATGCCGATGTTGACAAGACTCGAAGAGAAGTTGAAAGATTTATTAAAAATGGTGAATGGGATACTAAGGAATTCACAGAGATGCGAGAAAAGTTATTAAAAGAACTTCAAATTAATCATAATCCTATTGACAATGAGGTAATATTGAAGAAATTAGAAGAATTAGATGATAAGAAATTAGATAATTTACCATTAGAAAAATTAGAAAAATCTTATTATGAAAAATTAGATAAGTTAGAGAAATCAGAGAAATTAGGGAAATTAGAGAAATTAGAGAAATTGTTGAAAGAAATGTGTGCAAAATAATTTTAATATTATGTCTAGTTTTATAATTTGATCACTGGAATTATGAGCCAGTTTGTAATCAGTTATAAGAAAATTAATAATAAATTGAATAAATATATTTTATGTTTTCTCTTCTAATCACATAAATTTCCTAATTATTATTCGTTTGTTTTTTTTAAAAAAAAAGATTGACAAAATTAACATGATATGAAAATAAGTAAAGAAAATGACATGGAAAGTGAAAACACATTTAGTTATTATACTGTCAGTTAATATCCTTTTCAAATTATCTAGAATGTTTAAAAAAACGTTGAATAATTTTACTACAGTACCCCGCTTAAATATATATACCATACAAATGATACAATCCATACAGTCACAATATCACCGGTTTCAAGAAGCTGTCAAAAAAATATTTGTCAAATAATATTAATATTAAACCTAGTCATTAGACAAATTTTTTTTTACGGGATATCATATCAATGGTTTGGTAATAATAAAATATGTTGAATTTTGTACTATAAAAAGTGAGATAATAGGACGATTAGGCGTGCAATACTCAAAATTCGAAATCTTTTGATTTGGCCAGAATAAGCATAATTTCAGCCAAAATTAAAAATGTGTAAACTCAACCATTTTTTTTTATAATATAACGCTTTTTCATTTGTTTTAATTAAATTGGATTGAGTAGAAAATAACAAAAAATAATTTATCGTAGAGTAAAAAAAACGGACAAAACTTTTTCCTAAAAAATCACGTGATTGAATTAATATTGACTTTTGATTGGACATAAATAAATCATGTGATTATACTTCTCTGTAATTCTGGCTGAAATTATTAATTTTAGCTAGAATTAAGATTCTTATTTTAACTATTGATATTGACTAGAATTAAGCTTATATTCCAGCCAAAATTATAATGACTGACCAGAATTATATGTTTCAAATCTGAAAATTATATATAAAATACCTGAATTTTACAGGTTAATAACTTTTGATCTAGATAATCAAATAGGATAATCCTAACGTCATTTTGTAGCCCCAATCAGTATTTATCAAATTACGTTGAAATATTTTAAATATATTTACTCAAAAAATTTTTATTAAATTTTTAATTTATTTTAAAATTTATTTTATGAATTGTTGTGTCCCAAACCGTACTCTTTAATATTGTATGTATTACAATTTTTTTTTGTATTTTTAAAATAAAGTGACCCATAAACTAATAGGTAAACGACACTTACAATGTATACTCTTTTTTTGTTGTGAAACTTTCCCGCGAATTTAAAATCTTAGATTTAGATTATTGGATTTTTGAATAAGAATAATGAATCCTAAATCTAAGAGTATAACGCCCACTCTCCTTATGAATCGATGAATTTTATATATTTTTTTCATATAGATCATAAAAAAAAAAGAGTATTGCTAAATATCACCTCTGGTGATTGTCACCTTACCAGAATTAGGGTAGAATTTTGGGCAGAATTAAAAATGGCATGAAATTCTGCCCGTTAATATTTGCTAATGCTGGTGCGGTGAGATTTAGCAATACCCAAAAAAATATTTCACATGTTACACAAAATTTCAGATGATGTGGCTGAAATGTTCACGTTAATAAATAAAATCAATGCTTCTAAAAAAAATTTTCAAAATAGATTTTTTTCCCCATGTTAAATTGCAACTTATTATCAAAATTATCGAAAAAAAACTGAAATAAAAAAAATTTAGATATATCCACTCTCATCATATTTTTTTAGAAAACTTTAACTTAATAAAGAAACTTCTTACATTAATTAAAATATTCTAAAAAGATCAAAAATATTTTCTCATATCGATTAAATCCGATTATCACTCATCTTATTGTAGTATAAAAACTTGATTTATTTTAAAAGAATTGTAGGACAATGCGCAGGAAATACAAAATATATCATGTTGAGTTGCTTTCTTGATTGGATCTGCTTTGACTAAAATAGGAAATTAGGAATCTTATTTCTTAGAATAGCCAATCTGTTTAAATAAAGATTAGGATTTCTACTCCATTTGGATCATAAATAAATAAAAAAAATTTTTTTGCATATATTGTGTATCAAGAATCGAAATTTTTTGTTTGTATAAATAAAATTATCTGATAATTTTTTTGGAAAAATCATCTTGTCGTTTTCACACATGGCAGTGCTTCGATTGTAAAAAAAAATACTAAGCATGAGGTGAAAGTATTTTTTTTCCTTTCTTTCATACAACAAACTTGCTTTTTTACTTGTATTATGAGTTTGACCCATCTTAAGAATTATTACTTTTTTTTCGAATTTTTTTTTTAATAACATCTTTTTTTTTTGTATGATATTATATAATTTTATTTTTCATGATAAATAACAGGAAAAAAAAATTTTCTTATTTCGTAAATGTAAATAAAATATTACTGATGAAAAAATTTTTTTATAAAATTTTCTGTAAATCTTTAATACAATGTGAGTTTTTACAATTATAAACAATTTTTTACTGTATATTGTAAACATTTATTGTTCCAAAATGTTTTGGCTATTTACAGTTTTACATACATACAAAATTTATAAAGTTTATTATTTTTATTATTCTAGATAAACAAGACATTAAAAAGCACCAAAGTCTGGTATTTTTAATAAAAAAAAAGTCTTCTATATTTTTTATTTTTTGATTAAAATTGTTACTTTTTATTTTTATTTTTTGATTAATCTATATAACAATGTCACATTTAACTACCTTCTGTATAAATAATTTTGAATTGTGTAATGCATTGCATTTGCCGTTTGCGCCTGACCTATAGATTTTTGTTCTCTATTCTTATGGTTAAAGTGACTTTGATCGGTAAATTTATAGCATAAATGTCAATTATCTATTTTTCACCAAAATTTAATGATTTTAATCGATCGATTCACGTGACTCTTTGAGCTGACCCGAAATAATCAGCTAATTAATTATTTTTTTTTTTAAAAAAAAAACAATTTTTTAATTTAATTATGTGTTTATTCATTTATTTTATTTATTTTTAGTAAGATTTTTTTGCTCCTAGCTTAGTAACACTAATACTAATAAATAATAGATAACTTAATAAATTTTTTTTTTTTTAGTAGATTTTTTTATAACAATAGAGATTTATAAAGAATTTTAAGATTTTATTTTTATAATAGCTAGATCAGTATAAAAAAATTATCTGGGATTTTTTTTAATAACAATAGATATGATTAATGGGTCAAAATAATCAAATTTCGGAAAATAAACCGCAAGAGTTCAAATTAAATCTTTTACTTGGCCCAACTTTATAGTGCTAGTTCGAATTAATACTAATGTTGCTAAAATATTGGTACATCTTAATATATGTTACTATAAAGGGACCAAGAAAGAGTATCGATATACGTTACATCACAAAATTATATACAATATCGATACAATGCAGTTTTTTTATTATACGTGAAATGGGACAATGAAAATTTATTAGTACAGGAAATTATCGGTACACCACGGATCGGTACAAAGAGGTTTGACTGTAATTGTTTTTAGTAAGATTTTTTTTTTTATGTCACAGTAACACTAATAATACTAACAAGTAATGGATAATAAAAGATTTTATATAACAAAAGATTATGTTTAATGAATAATGAGGTTAATAAAAAAATTTTCTGAGATTTTTTTTTTTAATAACAACAATAGATTGGTATATATAGTACAATGGATAGAAAAATTTTATGAAATTTTTTTTTAATAATAGATTGATATAATTATATTTTCTGAATTTTTTTTAACAATACAGTCAATATAATAATTGAAAAAGTTAAAAAAAAAAGATTTATTTAAATTACAAACTAAGAAATTTGTAAAATATTTACTACTCTAGCCTTAATGCTTAAATAATTCTAAAAAAAGAAAATACATATATGGATAAAATATAAAAAATGGAATTATTTAAATTACAAACTAAGAAACTTGTAAAATATTTTACTAGTACTCTAGGCCTTAGTGTTTAAATAAATCTAAACAACAATTTCTGTTTAATGTGTGACATCAAATACTACTTAAAAAAAACTATAAATTCTTATAAAAACATAAATAATTGGTTATTTTTTATCTGGTTTAATATCTAAATAATTAAATAAATAAAATTAATTTCATATAAATAATTTGCAAAAATTAATTCTTTTCATATCATACTATATTACATACCTAATGACTTTAAATTAAACAATCATCCAAATCTTTACATACTAGCATTTTATTCACTTTTACATTAGCTTGTGAATCTTCACTTTCAAGAATTTCATTCACTATTCCACTAGTAGATCGACTTGAATAATAAACTAGTAAATCTCTACTTTCAAGAATTTCATTCAATTGTTTACTAGTAAAATCAAGTAAGCGACTTGTATAATATGCCTGTGAATGAGATTCAGTAGCAAGATTATTGTCATTCCCAATTGGTGCATTTATAAATTCCATAATATAGTATTTTAATTTTCCATTAAAATCTTTAACTTTTACATTATATGGAGAGGCAATCCAATTTTTAATAATATTTAACACTTCTTTAGAAGATGGCCTTTTTAATGGGTTTTCATCCCAACACTTTTTCATCAAATCTACATAACATTGTGGAGTATTTTCAATAATTTCAGGGCGTTCACCTTTACAAATACTTAAACTAAGTTGAATATTATGTGCTCTATTATTAAATGGTGGTATCCCAGATGTAAATTCCCACATAATCATAGAAAAACTATATATATCACTAGCTGGAGTATAAGATTTGCCTCTTAAAACTTCAGGAGCCATAAATGGTATGACACCATAAATATCATATTTTTTCAAAAATGATTTTACAGGTTTACATAATCCTAAATCACTAATATAAATTTTACTCATGATTTAAAATATTACCATCATGAAAATCACAATGAATAAGCCCTTGTTCATGTATATCATCAAGTCCAGAAATAATTTCAAATAACATATATAATTTTTGATTCCAATCACTTTTAATTATTCTTGTTAAGTTTCCTCTTAAATTACCTTTGTTTGCATAATCCATTACCACCATATATTTCAAAGTATCTGGATCTTTGGTAAACCCATAAAAATAAACAATATCATATGAACTTAGACAACTTTCGTGATATTTCCACTATAAAATAATAATAACAATATATTATATAATTTGAATTAAAAAAAATAATAGTATATTATCATACCTCATTTAAAAATTCATTTAAATTTTCACTTAAATCATTATGAAGTTTAAGAATTACTTCATTATCTTTATTATCATAAAACCAAATAGCCTTATATATAGTACCAAATCCTCCTTTATCAAGATATTCAACATTTTTAAATTTATCATAAGGAATCCATTTTAATTTTCTTTCAAAAATAAAATTATCCATAATTGTATTTCCACTCGTTCCAAATCTATAAATTTAAATAATTAAAATTATTATTAAAGTTTACATTAAAAATTACACTAAAATTTAAGATTGAAATCAACACTTACTCTATAATTTAAATAGAAATTTAAGATAATTTATATCTTAGTTTATGTATAAATATATAATAATAACCTATATTTCACAACTTACCAACTAAAGTAACAGAAATTTTATATGAAAGGATTCAATTAACAAATAAATATTTATAAAGTATATAACAATAAAAATAATAAATAACTTACAAGCTTATATATATTATTAAATAATTTTTTGAATGAAGAATTTATTAGTTTAAATTATATATATATATTATATTAATTAGTAATAGTAGAATTAAACAAATAACGAAACTTACTCCCTATATTATTAAATAATTTTTTAAATAAAGAATTTAGACTATATATATAAATATTATATAAAATAATAGAATTAAATAAATAATCCATAACTTACGACCTATTTAAATAAATAATTTAGTTAATTTAAATTATATGTAAATATTATGTAAATAAGTAATAATATAATTAAATAAATAGCATATAACTTACGACCTATTTAAATAATAATTTAGTTAGTTTAAATTATATGTAAATAAGTAATAATAGAATCAAATAAATAATCTATAACTTACAATCTATTTAAATAAAAATTTAGTTAGTTTAAATTATATGTGAATATTATATAAGTTAGTAATAATAGAATTAGTAAATATTATAATAAATTAAATAAATAACCTATAACTTACGACCTATTTAAAATAAAGAATTTAGTTAGTTTAAATTATATACTAAATATTATATAAACAAGTAATAATAGAATTAAATAACTTACACCCTATATTATTAAATAATTTTTAAATAAAGAATTTAGTTAGTTTAAACTATATGTAAATATTATATAAATAAGTAATAATAGAATCAAATAAATAACTTATAACTTACCAACTAAAAGAAAGTACAAAATAATTTTTTAAATAAAGAATTAGTTAGTTTAAATTATATATAATTATTATATATATAAATAAGTAATAATATAATACTAATTTATAACTTACGACCTATTAAATAAAGAATTTAGTTAGTATAAATTATATGTAAGAAGTAATAATAGAATTAAATAAATAGCTTACTCCCTATATTATTAAATAAAGAATTTAGTTAGTTTAAATTTTATTTAAATATTATATAATAAGTAATAAATAAAGGGTGAATTTATTCCTCACCCCAAGCCATAAATTGTTGAAAAATGTCAAAAATGGTATTTATAACCTTTATTAAGGCATTAAGTAAATTTGTAGAGCAGGCAAATTACCTATAAGTTATAATTTTGAAGGCTATACGAAGCTTATAATAAGTTTTATTTTAAAAAAAAAACTTTTCGTCAAAAATTACGTTGTTCCTTTTTGGAATTCGGGGGTGAGGTGAGAAATAAATTTTTCAAAAATGATTACTTATAACTTACCAACTAAAAGAAATTACAAAATAGTTTTATAAAAAAAGAATTTAAATATTATATAAATAAGTAATAATAGAATTAAATAAATAACTTATAACTTACCAACTAAAAGAAATTACAAAATAATTTGTTAAATGAAGAATTTAGTTAGCTTAAATTATACAAATAATAGAAATATAGACATCTATAACTTACACCCTAGTATTATTAATTAATTATTAGTAAAATATAAATATAATACAAAAGTTATTTACTGTAAATTAAATATATTACTTACAATCTAGTTATTTAAATGAATATAATTAGTTGAATTATATAAATATTAAACAAATAAATTTGATATTGTAACTTACCATCTGTAATACAATTAATTATTAAATAGTTAATTAAATAAGGAATTAGTTATTTGAATATTATGTAAAATAATAAAATAAAGTAAGGAATTAAAAGATTTAAATAACTAGTTACTTACTGACTATTGTATTATTAAATAAATTATTTAATTACATGAAATGTAAAAAAAAAATGATAAGTAATTCCATTATCATTCAATTATGGTAAGATAACTAACTTATTAACTTACGAGCTAAATTATTTAATATTATTTTTGTATAATATAGTTAGTTTAAATTATATTTATGTAAGGTATAAATAATTATAGATAGTATTTAAATGTATTTACAAATAAAAATTTAATATTTTAGCATATTTATTATACCTTTAGATTCCTTGATACTGTTTTCTTCAAATTCTTCAGAGTCACTTCCTTTGGATTCCTCAGAGCTACTTCCTTCAAATTCTTCAGTGCCGCTTCCTTCAAATTTAATATTACCAAAAACTAGTTTTATTATATTATAAATTTGTTTAAAAATATTAATATTCTAATTGTATTAAATGTTTATACTATACATATGATTATTACCTTTATCATTGCTGAGAGCCATTACTATATAATTATATTAAATTTTCTCAGGCTGGAAAAGATAATTTTTTTTTTATTATTGAACGCCTTTATTAGTATGGTATATGGTAATAATATTTATGCAAAATGCATTATGCGCAAGTACAAGCATCGCATGTATGACAAACAAATTTTGCACATTCGGAATAATATCTGTCAATCATCAAGCCTCATTGTTGCACAGCAAAAATCATAAAACAAAGAAAAATTTCGGCATAACAGGGAGTTTTAATTATTCAAAAATAGTATTTTTATTAATTTAATTTGCAATCAAGCAGTATTATTAATATCTTTTTTATTATAAAATGTACATAAAGTAGACACAAGAAAACTCGTTTTACCAACAAAAAACCCATTTCTCACCTGCATAGTAATTTTAGTGTGTATTTTTAGAAAGTAAGTATACTTTAATAAAACAAAATGTAAAATAGAAAATTTGTATAGTCACAATAGCTATGAATATCTTAAAAGTATTTTAACACTCAATGAATATTGTTTAAAAAATTTTAATTTTTATAAAATTGTCTATTTTTTATATTTTCAAGTCATATAACTAATTCATATTTATTTTATTGTACACATTATAGGAACTTTACACTCAAACTGATTGTGAATCATATATACTTTCAATTTTACAAAAAAAAATTCCAGAAATTATTGCGCAAAGCGAGATCTCATGACGGATATTGTCAATATTATCAGAATCATATTTATTATATTTTGGCTTAAAAGAAGTATTTATCAAATTATTGTATGGCAAACCCAAATAAAAATTTTTCTAATGTCACTATGCCTTATGTAATGCTTTGTGTAACAAAAATTCAAAAAATTAACACGTTGATTATTGGGTAATCAAATCCGCCGATATGAGTGCAGTTAAAGTTAAAGAGTTCCAAGTTTTAGTACGACTAATTGCGACAACATATGCTTGTCCTGGTGCAAATAGTGAATCCAATGATACTGTAGCATCTGGTATTGTTAATTCTTGTAATCAAAGGTCTTTGGGGGTTTTTTTTTGAAGTATTTATAGGTTTATTTATCAGTATATTATATATTTTATAATTCTAGCTTAAAAGATCAGCTTGGTAATATTGGAACCATGTGGTTAACTTAAATTTTGGGTGGTTTAATTATAATCAAAAAGAGCTAAACATTAAGATATTGTTTAAATGTTATATTTTGATATTACAATTGTAAATATTAATTTTTATTGACAATAAACATATATATCTTTAATAATAATAATAATAAAACTAATATTCGGTGATATTTAGATTAGAATTGTGCAATACACAGTGAAATTCGATATAATGGAACCATCCGTTCCATTAGTAAATTTGTCAAAAATCCGTTATATCGAGAAACCGTTATATCGAGGGTAAATTAATTATAGATTATGACAGATTCCAATTCCGATATATCAAGACTTTGCTTATGTTCCGTTATATCAAGGTTCCGGTATATCAAATTTCACTGTGTAAATAGTACAGTATATCTGCGTCTGAACTATTCCAAATTTTTATAGTTAAAAATCAAATATTACGTAATTAGTAATAATTATTATCGAAGATTCTTCTAATTATATTAATAACTAACAAGTAATAGTTAATTAAAATAAAAAATCTCACTAGAAAAAAAAAATTTCCATGTGATTTATTGGTTAGTAAAAAAAAATTGGTTAGGAATCAATATTGTAAAAAAAAAAAAATCTTACTAAGAAAAAAATTTACCTGTGTGAATTTTTCTGGAAATTTTTTTTTTTTTTTAATAATAGCTCGCTATATTTGATTTATTACACAGATAAAAAAAATATATTTTCAATTAATATAATAATTAGTTATTGGATAGGGAAGTAGCGGACCCAAATGATTGATGAAAATGTGCCACGCATTTGGCACAAAACAGTTACTGGAGAAGGCATTTTTTATTAAACTTTACTTTTCTTTGCAAAATGGATTCAAAATTTATCTCCTTTTGATTTAATTTATAAGCAATTCTATCTAAATTTATTTTTATTATTATTATAATATGTAAAAAAATTGATTTGTTCAAATTGTATTAAATACAACAATGCATAGTAGTTGTTAATTAATAATTAATAAAATCAAAAAGAATTTTATTATTTTTTTTTTAAATACATTCATAAATATTTTCTGGTAATAAATTAATAATAATGAAGGTAAACGAAAAAAAAATTTTTTTTAATGTACCAAATCAATTATAATAATGTAATGAACAAAGACGCAAAAAAAAAAGAAAAAAAATTTAATTAATAATCAGTAAATATTACTAAAGACGAGAAAAAGAAAAAAAAAAGCACTCCGCAGTACACCCATATCATGTTTATTTGATATCACCTACAGATCTTATCCGGATCAAAAATTGCAGCATGTTCTTGATTAAACTTAAAAGGAAATGAAAAGAATAAATTACTGTTTAATTGTTTTTTTAGAAAAACACAATTAGTGGTTGAACAATGTTAAAGAAAATATATTAACATTAATCAAAAAAAAAAGGACGTGAGAAAAATCATGTGTCTACTTATCAGAATCCGCAGCCTGGTCCAACCCAATAAAGCTAGGAAATAAATTTAAGGAAAATAAACAAGAAAAAAAAAGACAAAAAAGAAAAGAAAAAAAATAAAAAAATAAAAAAATAAAAAATAAAAAAATAGATGATATTAGTAATAAGAAAAAAAAATCAGTAAATCATTATCAGCTATCCTACAAAAATGGCAAACCCAGTGTAAGTTTGTAAAACTTTCCTATCTAAAAATATTGTATAGATGTTGATCAAGTGGGTGGTAGGTCATATTAGGTTCATTCCATTTCGTTTTGATACGAAATGCTAACGTTAACATTAACATTAACATTTATATATACTGAATTTCTTCCTTTTTGATTGGTCGACAATCTTATTAGTATTCTGATTGACCATTGGTTACACTATTTTTCATCCGGAGTTGTAATACAAATTTGTTCACCAATTTGTATAACATCGTAACCTTATAGCAAGTAGGAAAAAAATATTCGGGGCAAATTAGCTTAAAAACCATTTAAAGGTTTATTAATTTGCAAAAATAAATTCCCAAAATGTATTAGTAGACGGAGACGGATCACGAATGACAAATTAATAATTAATAATTACCACAAAATCATTTTAATTGCTAAATTCTTTCATATTTTATTTTGTTATTCGACATCCATATTTGGAATTAATTATTGTATTTAAAGAGATTATAAAAGTTAATATAATAATCATACTTAAGGTAGTAGATGTTTTCTGAAGATGAAGCAGAACTTTAATTTATATTATACTCGAAAAAATTTCATTGTTGAACAGTAGTTAAGAGAAATAGAAAGTTAAAATTATAATAAGTTAGATATTAAAAATATATTATTTTATTAGATAGAAATATTAAAAATTAGAAATTTGAGATATTATTTTAAATCTTTATTAACCGCTCTCGCTCATAATTCATAAATCATAATACACATGTATATAATTAATGTTTCTAAATTCCATACCGTGGTTATCAAACAGTAATCTTTATTTAAAACGTGTAATTTAATAATGTAATTGAATTATTTATACGTTTATATCTTTAATAACATTTTCAATTTTATATTTATCAAACAGTTTCATATACAAATTATCTTTTCGATAAAAATAAGCATTATCAAAATATAAGGAAACTGCAGGTCGTCCTTTCCACTTTTCAAGGAATGTTTCTAAAGTTTTTAAAGAAAACTTAATGTCATAAGAAATTCTAATTTCTCTTAGATTTGTTGATGCTTCCCTAATTAACACATTTGACAAGTAATCTCCAAATTCCAACTCTTCTTCTTCATAATATATTGCTTTAAAATTTAATGATCGTAAATTTTGACATTTTTTAAGTAATTTTTCAAATTCAATAAAATGATTCTCCAATAATGGAAATACAGGAATTGTTAAATATTCAATTAAATAACAATTTTCACAAATTGTACGAATAAAATTAAGAGAGTAATTATAAAAATTATCATCATTCCGGTGAAAATCATTGATCCTTAATTCCCTAAGACATAAGCTATTTTTAATCATGCAATTAACTTGATAAATATCTATAAAATCTATCTCTAGGATCTCAAGGTTACGATAAGCCACCATTTCCAATTTTTTATTGAAATCATCATCATTTAGAAATATAGGAGAATCAATTTCTAATATTTTTAAATTATGAAGTTCTAAGATTGCATATTGTAGAAATGTATAATCATATATATCGTAAATTTCGTAATAATTGATGGGATAATCAAACTGAAGGTTTATATCAAAATGATTAAGAGTATTTGCATGTTTTTTTATTATGTTAAAAATTTCTGTATAAGGATCTTCCAATAATTCCCAATAAAAATCTTCTTTAAATTCATCTACCCATTTAAAATATTTCAAATTTTTTTGAAATTCGATTAACTTAATAGTTCCCTGATTAGCTTTTAATTTTTTGTTAATAATGATAATTCTTTGTATTTGTTGACAAATATGCGCTAATCTGTAAAAGTACCTAGAATCAATCAATGTGTCACATGTTAATTCACAAAGTGATTCAAGACGAACCTTTGCTTCTGGAAGATATACTATCTCATAGGTACCACATATATTTAAATACTTTATTTCTGGACATTTCTTTACCAATAAACTGTAAATTTCCTCTTGTAAAAAAAATCGATTATATTCTAATGATGATCCAATTGAAATTATATCATCTATAACTTTTATATTGATATTCTTACAGAAAGACAAATAATCAAATGCAAGTGATTGGCCTAAAATTAGAATCCCTCTCTTTGTTAATAATTCTTTAATATCATCGGATAAATAAGCAGTAATAATGGAGTATAAAGAATTTTTTTTATAATTAATAGAATAGCACCAAGGATTCCTCCATAAGATTGGAATCACGGTTTCACACCATATTCTATTAACCATTAGGCATGAAAAGAGGAATTTTGAATTATTTTGTAATTCCTCAAATATCAAGAAAAGAATATCTTTATTAAGTTTGGACATTTNTTTTTTTTTTTTTTTTTTTTTTTGAAATAAATAAAATGAAAATAAAATAAAATAATAAATAAATAATGAAGTACGTTTTATATAAAACTCCGATGTGTGACCATTAAATGTTTCATCGGAATATATATGGTAATAAATGTGGGATCAGAAAAACAGTTACACAGTTTAAAATTTGAAGTTTAAATAATTCGGTTGACGTTATTGCTGATCCCGTGATCCGCCTATAATTGGAAGTAAAAGTGAAGATCAATGAAATCTATGCAACCTCGTTTATAAAAAATAATCAAGTATAAAATACAAGGTTATTTTATATATACTGTATTTCTTCCTTTTTATATATATATCTTTTTTTGTTATACCTCTAACCTAATATAGTATCGATTTATTGATTTAAATTTCATCCTTTCCCTTTTAAATCAAACCTTTCCATTTTAAAACAAAAACCGATCAAGTAATCTTTTATTGTTGTAATAATAATAAAACTTTTTTTACTCCCTTTTTTTTATTTTTGAAGTTTGGTGTTATTTTTTTACGTTGTAATGGAATCCTCTTTGAAAAATATATATTATTGTCATGGCTGTAAAACATCTAAAGCATTATCTGAATTTATGGGTTATGGAGATAGCAGTATTTTCAAATAGCTTAAAACATGTAATAATTGTCATCAAAGATTTACCCAAAAACGAAAAGATCTGCTATAGAAATAAATACTAATAATCAACCTAATATCTTAGAAGTCATTGATATTTATTTTTAAGTGAAGTAATTACAAATCTTTTAGAATATACACCATTAAGAATTACATTTGCATCGTCAAGTAAATAATGTTAGTTATAGAGATCCCATTAACGAACATTTATCTAAAGAGCTTGCAAACAAGATTATTGAATTAATTGAAGATGCGGATGGATATTAATGGAATTACAATCACCTATATACAAGCAAGAATGATATCACATATTGGTATTTTTGTTCTCAAAGAGATATTCAAGCATCTAATCATGTAAACATTCAGATCCATCCAAATAATGAGATACTCCTTCTATGGAAAGATTTGATTGTGGAGGTATTATAAAAATTTTCATTGATAAGATAACATTATTATCTGAGGTTGAACTTTTTCATAAAGTTTTGTATATAAGGCTGATTGATAAATCTGTACCAGAGGATGTAAAAGAATTTATAAAAAACAATATAGACCTTCTTTCAAAAGAAATATGCATGTCTTTTGATAAAGGCCTTAATGTATAATTAGACAAAAACAAATACATTTCTGGTGGACAAAGCTACTGTATAAACGTTGTGAAGATGCTTTTGATTCATCTCTGGGCTATCAGAAAATAATCATTGCATCATTTACAGGAAGTGGAACCTGTTCATACATTGGGCATTTGAAACTGGTATTCTGGGGCAACTAAATTAATATTAGTGAGTGTGGAATAGATGCTACCTATAACACGAACAATATGGGATTTGAATTATATGTCTTACATGCAGAAATAAATGGTACTGGGTTTCCACTTTCTATTATCTCGTTTGTTTCTTGAAAATAATGGCAGATGCAAAGATGGGATCCGAACAAATATTTTTTACAATCTTTCGAGATCAAGAATTACAACCTAAATTCTTTTTGACAAGATAAAGATTTCGCCCAGATTAATGTTGCGCATTTTACGTGGCCAAATACCAAAATTCAACTATGCAGATGCCATATCAAGAAAGCCATAACTACAAGATTATCAAGTAACAAAAATACCTGGTCTTCTGGTTACAATTTTCTTTCAGAATTTGGAAAAAGGTTTAATACAACAAGCAGCACAACATTGTCCTAAAGAATTTTAAGAACCACTATGGAAATTAATAGACAGACATCTACATCAACATTCATTGATCCTAACATGTGAAGGAGAATTTTTAATGAAAGATAATATTTATGAAGCAGCCATTCAAGAAACATATAATTTTTGCAAAGATAATTCATTAATTTTAATTTGGCAATATTTGTGGATGGAATGGTACAGTGAATCAAAGTGGCCATTATGGGCACGCTCACCATGTGAAAATATGATCTCCATATAAAAAACTACAATGTTTGTTAAGGGACACTGCTGGAAAATAAACAAAGGGAACTTCTTGTACAAGTTTTTTTCGTCCATGGATGGTTCTTGTTGCATATATTTAATGAACCAAGTTATTGTTCATCAACAGCAAAAATTGCAGCAGATTTGTGACAGAAGAGAGAGGCTGAATTGGATTATGGATTTTAAATCAGAATGGAAAAAATTATCTAAATGGCCTATTAACAATGTATATGTAACTGATAGAAAATTTGGATCTGCGGATGTTCTTATTGTTTGACTAATTGGTTAAGATAATGTAAGTACTCAATTCAACAAAAAGGAATTGTATCAGACGAATTTTTTGCAAATATAAGAAGAAACTACAAACCTCTTTTTTTTAATTAAAAATAATCTATTATCATATACAGATAATAATAAAGAAAATTATCAAAAAGATTTAAATATAATAGGTGAATTAACTGAAGGGATAATGAGTTATTTGATGACTTGTTTGATACGACTGAAAAGGCACTTTTACTCTTCTAAAGAAACAAAAAAATCAGCTGGTAAATATTAAATGGTGTAAAAGTACAATGAAATCTTTTAATGGTATTATTAAATTAGTTAAAGAAGTTGAACAATATCAAAGAAAGAGAACTATGACATTAACATGGAAAGGTCATACAAATAGCACTCGTTATTTGCATTAAAATGATTAATGTTATATAAATATTTTAAATTTAATTAATAAATAAAATTTATATTTCATTGTTATTTAATTAATTAATGAACAAATTGTGTAAAATGTATGAAAGTCATCAAAGAAACAAAATTGTAAAAATTTTTATTTTCGGCTGGATAATTTAAAACTAATCAACCGGAATAAGCCACCAAAATCACGTGCCCGAGATTTTTTAGGGAGTTGTGATACCCTAATTGTCACACCTTAATCCTCCCCTGCTATGATCGATGCCCCTGCAATATTTATAATATTTGCCAATCATTTTAATAAAAACAATATGGGCCAATCGCGTGACAAAATGTTAGCATATCGAAAATTTAAAAATAATTATTTACGTTACTTTAATAACAAAACTACAAGAAAATTTTTTTTTTTTATAATATTTTAATAGTGAAACTATACATTTTATAATATTTTAATAATAAATTATATTGTCTTACAAATTTTTAACAATTACTATCAAATTAACCCTAAAATATTATAAACACTAGCTAACAAACCGGCCGGTCCTATAGGCTAGTCTTTTTAAATATATTGTTGGTGTTAAATTTTTTTTACAGCTGTTTTCATAATACCTGGGACAAACTAAATTTTTGAACCTGATCCGCCGATCCGGTATTTTAGCTGGGCACGTGATCCTGATTTGATAGTTTGATTTGTAAAATAAATAACAACTGAACCGGATCGGGATGTTATTCGGGGACTCTTTCCGACGATCGTTAAATACCAAAAATTCACAGAAGAAATTTTCACCATAAAACATATTTCTTTATAGACAAGTGTCATTTTTTCTACAAATTTTGGTCTCTACGCTCTTCTCAGAACATTATCATATGAGTTTTGCCATAGGAAAAAAATTTTCGAATAAATTCCTAAAAAATTTAGAAAAAAACTATCGTCCTGTTTCTAACGACGAGGATATATATCTCACATACTCGTCTCCCAATAAAAACAAATCCAACATGACTTCCAGTCAACCTGCAGCGCCTTCTCAGACTGCTAACAACACTATAACGGACACAACTATGGAAGAAGCACTGTCTTCCTCTCCTACTCATGCTCTTTCGCACAGCGAAATTGAACTTACATCACGTGACTTACACGAACAAGATATTCACACACAAACACCAATCATTGACAAATTGACTAATATGGATGTAGATCCCATAAATACTAACACGAATAAAGGAAAATCACCGGAAACACAATCAGCCACACAAACAAACATCCCTAATCCGTTACAAATTACGGTGCTTACAGATATATTTGCACAAACACCACAAGTTTCAAACAAAGCTCACAAAGGATTTATTCCCAGAGATAGTTTCCCGCCGAAACTTTCTAACAACGAAATTATCAATCTAATAAAAACGTCATTCATCAAGGATAGTAATGCTTTTAGATTTGACGTCAATACAACATCCACTTATAGATACTTTACCATCCATTTCAGAACACGTGATTCATTAGACCAATACATAGCAAATAGTCCTGACAACCTCAAACACATAAAAATTTACGAACTCACCAATGAGGCTATTAATATATTAATAGAACAAAAATTCTTCAACCTAGACCAGGCTGTTATAAAAATTATGGATATACCATACAACTACGATACATCCATGTTATTAAACATCTCGCTGTAAAAACAGGCAGCAACATCATAGACCACAAAGAAATTAAAAAACCTCCAAGAAAAATTCCCAATCGCAACAACCGCGGACGTCCCATTTTCATAAAACCTGCTTACAAACAACTTATTGTCCAATTTGACAAACAAGCAGCATATAATTATTTCATGAAAGAAAACTATTGGAGCCTTGAAATCGAGAACTTCGTAGTAAGGATCTTACCTGGTAACCCCGAGGACCCTGAATATAAAAACCGCACCAGTAATTATTTTAAAATCACTGGACTCCCCCTTAACACCACAGCCAAAGATATTGAACCTCTTATCAAACACGTCTACGGACGAACTTGTACATTTACACAAACCACCAAATATTCAACCATGAAAAATGCCTACATTTACGTTTCACCTAACAATTATCCAGCGGACGCGTCCAATGGAGCCTCCTCGCTTTTTGAAGGATACAACCTCCACATCCTACCAGGACACCTTTCACTAAAAACATGTAATACTTGTGGTTCACCACTTCATGAGACAAATCACTGTGACGACAAAAACTTCGATACAAATCAAAATAACCGAAGAATCTTCAAAAAACGATTTATTAATCGTAATGAGGAAAAAATCACAATTAGCGATAACCACAAAACCAGGTTTAATCATGTCATCACTTTAAATGCAAACAAAAAAGCTCCTACAACGCCACAAAATCCTAAACCCAATCAAACACCACCGCATGACTACAATAGCAAGAAAAACTAACAATCAGGCAGCTTGTTATATCTAAGACAAACCAGACAACTAAACAACAACCATAATAATTATGGCAACAATAGCAGGGATCTAAAACATGATCGCTTATATATCGCCCCCCATCTAGACAATCCCCAAATGTCAGACATCAATCGCTCTGAACAACGAATTACACAATTGGAACAACAAGTTCAATCCCTCTTAAATAGTGTTAAAACACTCCAAGAAGGAAAATCTAAAGTCGATAATACTATCGCCGATATCCATCACAATCATAATTTAATGAGTTCTTCACTCAATGACATCACAATCAGACTTGACAAATACGACACAATCCTACAACCTGTCTCTTATACACATCACAATCATAATTTAATGAGTTCTTCGATCAACAACATCACAACCAGACTTGCCAAATACGACACAATCATTCAACAGCTCACAACTAATATTAATTTACTTAGTCAAGAACAGATTGCACAACATAAAGAACGTAGTGTTAAAACACCAAAACGACCATCGCCATACGAACAAACCTCGTATAGGGCAACCAAAAATAGATACAACCTAAGAGGTAATAAACAAGGAAACATATTAGCGAAAGACAGCGAGCAACATCCTTTAACAACTGATGACGATACCGATACCCCTGACGATGCCGCGATGTCAGACGGTGCCGTCTTCGAAGGAATCATCGACGAAGTGTCAAATGCAACATCATCTGAATCAAAATTTTCAGTCAAATCCTACAATCCCCTCAATCTCCTCCCGCAGTTTAATGCGACACGTTAAAATACGTGTTTACCATTATAACTAATACATCCCCCTTTCATTTTGGATATATTTTTTGGATTTCCCCATTTTGATATTAACAGTTTATTATTTTTTATACACATTGATTCTTTTTATATACAATTTTTTATGGAATACACCAATTTACAATCCTCGGCTGACCTCGAAAATCAGCCTTTTGAACCAGTTCTACAATATTCTTATAATAAATATAACAAAAACACAAAAACACAAAAAAATGATAAAAAACCCCAAAACCACAAAAATAATAATCAAAACCCACATACCCCAGACAACAATAATGATTCACCAATAACATGTCCACGAAACTACATTCGCGAACCTCGTAATGATGAAGACGAAAATATGCTAAATTACATTGAACACCATTTATTTGATGATCATGATACAAAAGGGTCAACGTCGTCTACCTCTCAAACACACGACGCCCCCATATCAACATCCTCTCAATTACGAACACAATTTATTGATTACTATAAATTTGGTACAATCAATATCCAAGGAGGATTCAATAATAAATTGAACGATATTCTCCATTTTTTTACACTTCATAATTACGACATCTTAATTTTAACCGAAACAGGTCTCCATCAACATACCAATATAGACAGGGATCTTAAGAAAACAACATACTCTACGCTTACACTCCCAACACTGAATAGCGATAACACTATTCATAATGTTCATCTTTATACAGATGACAAAGGCAACACCAAAGGCAGTGGCGTCTCTATAATAATCACGGATCAATTACAAAAACACATTATCAAAACTAATACTTTTTATGGCCGTATTTTAATGGTAGATCTATGCTTTAAAGGCAGCCATTATGTCAAATTTATATGTTGTTACTTACCTGCTAATGCCGCTGACGACAAAGATTTAATCATTAAATGTTACAAAGAAATTGAAAACATTTTAATCAAGGCCAAACACGATCATTTTGAATGTATAGTTATAGGTGACTTTAATATTAGTTTCGACAAATTTAAAAAAGCCAATCACTATCCTATTTGGAGACGTGAAATCAAAACAATTCTAAAAAATTTTGATCTTAAAGATATACTCAAATCATTTCACGATCACCCGAGCCCGACACATACTACCAAAAGAAATGAAGGTCCAGATATACAGTCTCGTATAGATTACATCTTCACTTCACCTAATATCCTTCATTATAGCTTTTATGCTTATACTCATAGTATCTCTGAAGATTTTTTTACTACAAATCATCAGGCTTTTAGTTGTTATTTGACGCAAGATTATTTCAAAAACAAATCCAATAGCTCTAGAAAAAGTCTAGAAAGATCATCCACGTATAAACCTAATACAGACCCGAAAATTCAATTCAAATACCATCTAATGACCACAGAATCGTGGTCCAATTACAAAATCACTAATGGTATTATTTATCGACAACATATTAATAATAAACCAATTCTACCAGATATTACACCGGAACAACGAATAGAATTATATTGGTCTAATATCAAAGACATTATCAAACAAACAAAAGAGAAATGCATCCCTTACTCTATATATAAAAAATATACGAAACATGAGCGACCGTTATCTTTAAGACAAAATAACAACAAAATACTTACACTTCGTATGATTTTACGAAAATTCTCTAATATTAAACTTAATAGACTACAAGGTGATCTTGATAAATGGAAAGATTACTGGAACACTTGGAATAATTTACGAAAACAAATTCTGGTTATCGATGTTCATTTTAATGGTAAACGTTCTATCTGGCTACCATATACCTTGACGCCTGATAATGTATCTGACGTTAAAAAAGATTTACAAAGTCTCCTACGTATATCTATTGTTCTACATAAACAAGAAGAAGATTCATGGACTCTTAACAAAATCAACAAATATATCAACGATAGGAATAATAATTTAGTTCATAACCAAAGAAGGATGATTAATAGTATCCTTGACCGTAAACCTCAAAAGATAACATTAGATCGTTTACATTATTACGATCATGAAACCAATCAATTTCAATTTACTAATAATCCTCATATCATAGCAGAACAAACTAATTTACATTTTCAACGGTTAGGAAAAGACCTTAACGAACTTAATAACGTTAAAGAATACAAGTCAATTCAAGACCTCCCGTTATATTGGAGATCAACATATGAACCTATTAACAACCATGATTGTATACATATGACTTCATTAGAGGATGAATTTTCAATTGAAGAATTATCCCAAGTCATTTCATCATGTCCAAACAACAAAGCCGCTGGCATTTCCGGCATCACATACGAAGACATCAAACATACACACCAAGACTTTAGAGAATATATTAACAAATTTTTCAATTATATATTGCAGGTTCAAATTTACCCACAAGACTGGTTACATGCTTTCCTTTTTCCCATACCCAAACCTAAGGCTTGGGACTGCAAAATTGAAAATACACGACCTATAGTCTTATTGGAAACGTTCAGAAAATTGTTCGTTAAAATTCTGACACAAAGAATTAACATCAAGCTTACAACTTATAACCTAATTAATGAAAATAATCGGGCTGGCCTAACGGGACAATCCACGTTACAACCCTTACAAGTTATTCAACATATAATTGAATCTGCTTATAAAGATAAGAAACCATTATGGATTGGTTTACAAGACCTCAGCAAGGCTTACGATAGAGTTAATAAATCTCTTTTACGATTGGCATTACAACGCCTCCATTTTCCTGACACGATTACCACTCTTTTAATCTCCCTATTTAGTGATCGGAAAAATAATGTTATTTTACCCTTTGGCTTATCCGCCGATTTTGACGTACTTCAGGGTATTGACCAAGGAGAAGTCATCAGTCCGCTATTATGGATTATTTATTATGATCCCATGTTCTCCCATTTATCACAATTAACCAACAACCTTCACGTTACCAGCGTCAACAAAATCACTAATATTTACCAACCTGATTCCGACCTTCAGATTAATTATTCAGCATCTGTGGTAGGTTATCTTGACGATACCAGCTGGTTTGCATCTTCCAAGACACAATTAGAATCCAATCTCCAAATTGCGAATTCTTTCTATGACATGGCGAACATTACCATCAACCATGACAAATACACCATTCTTACCAATATTCCTAAATTTTGTAATAAGGAATTACAATTCCAAGTCACCCCTGACAAATCAATAACGATTAGAACAGCGTCGCGGGCCTCATCTAATCGAATTCTTGGAATTTACATTAATGCATTCAACTCACACATGCCGACGCTAAAAAAGATAAAAAAAATAGTCAATCATTTCGCGTATACAATGCGCTTTAAAAAGATTACCCACGACCACCTTATTTATATTATTAACAAAGTTTTATTACCCAAATTAGAGTATATTAATCAATTCACTATTTTCACACGATCACAATGTGACTCTTTATTAGCCCCAGTCAAAAAACTTTTTAAACAACATTTAAAATTACCAATTTCTACACATAATAATATTATTCATAACAAATTATTTCCTTCTATTAATAGTTTTTTTTATAACCAATTTTATTCCCATATATCAGTCGTTAATGTTATTTTTAACACCCCTATGTTTTCCACTATTGGTTTACAAAAGATTCTGAATACACAATATGAATTTTGGATACCCAATTTCCCGACATCTAAGGATTTATCTAACCCTATTTCGTCAAATTATCAATCCCTTTTGACTCGACAATTACGTCTTTTTAATCAATTTTATATAACTCTCTTACCACACTGTAATACGTCTATTACTGGTGGTGGCACTTCTATAGTTTCATATTTTAATTCTTTTGATTCTCTTGATTCTTTATCCAGTAGTGACCTCCAGAGTTTACGGAAAAAACGTATAATGTTTATGGATCAATTGACATCTCTCGATGGTTATTTTTTAAGTACCTGGAAAAACGTTAAGAAACAAAACCCTAAGGCAAATTTCAAAGGACCTACGCCTAAGTGGTTTCAAAATCTTGAACAATTTAACATCTTGGTGACCGATAGTTCACGTCGCCTCTTACGAGATTTAATGGTTTCACCCCCAGCCAGATTTGACTCTATGTCTCCTCCTATATGAAAAGCATGTAAATACTGTCCTAAAAACGAATGGACTATTTCTTGGGATGCTGTACACCAGTGTGAATTATATGGCAAGACGATTGAACAACAAAATGATTTATATGGTACCAGCCTCACTTACCGAACACATTACCTTCCCGAGGTTAACGCTGATACTAGAACCAACTTAACACTCAAGAAAGTAACCCCTATTCTTCAGCCTTGTACAGGTCAATGTGGTCATAGTGTACCTTTTAGTGGCGATTTACGCCCAAAATGTGTTATTGTTTCTTTAACATCACATTTAATTCTTTTCAATGTCCATGCAAAAACTTTTATACCTAATAAATCTTTTATAAAACTAGATAAATCCTTTATTTTTCCAGTTACACCTTTACATACCCTTCGTACTCAAGTGTTTACATATAATAAACATAGATTAATTGTACCTAATGTTTTACCTCCAACGATTCCTATTTTATCGTCTCTAGATTCATATTTAGATGAGAATTCTTTATTGTTTACCAATAATTTAATCAATTTAAATTTAAATATTTCTTCTTCTCTTTTTATTAAAAATATTTTCGTAGGAAATAGAGATTTAATTATTCAACTTTTAGAAATAGCTAAACAATTTTTGTTACGGAAAAATTTTACTTTCTATACTGATGGTTCTTTTTCTCCTATAGATGTTAATTTTTCTACTCAAACTCAAATGGGTTTTACCTGGATTGAGATTACTGATGCAACTCCGGCGGACTCTGGACCTCCTCCACCATCTTACAAAGGCGCTTTATCCTTTAATCCATCTTCCACCAAAGCAGAAGTGTACGCGCTTCTAACAGCTATTATTGCTGTACCCGATGAGAGCGAATTGGATATTTTTACAGACTCGCTGAACGTCATTCA